GTAGGCCAATTTTGAACCTACATTTGAGCACGAGCCCCGGGCCCGGGACTGAGGCGACCCCGGCGCGCGGCGCCTCGCCCAGCGTACGCACAACCCGGACGTGCGGCTCGGCTACACACGGCACGGTTCTGCATGTCGCAGGTCCTCGGCGCTCTGCTGCTGTCTCAGCTTTACGAGGGGCAGTGGGAGGGGGCGATGATAAGGGCCGGTCCTTTATTCTTCTGACTCTCGGTGTCTGACCGAAGGAAACAACCGGGACGACTCGTTCAGAGGTCCGGCGTCTGCAGGATTCCGGCCACACCGTTGGATATATCGATCTCAGATTTTGATACAATGTAGATAAAGGATGTGGCTACAGCGGTAAAGAGCCCTTTTCCGCAAAAAGCGCCCACGAAAAAATCTGTTGTGGCCGAGTCAAGGGGTTCATTGTAGGCAATACAGGCAATGTCGGGGGCAAACGAATGCGTTCGACATCGAGATTAGTCCTTCAAGGACCCACCTGCCGAATTTGGATTTTTTTGGTGCACGGGTTTTTGAGAAACAATATGAGAAGTCTTCCGGTGCAAGGCGTTGCGAGCGCCGCGCGGCTGCTGCTCGGCACTAAACGGCCGCGGCGCAGCGCGCCACTCATCCGCACCCTTCCCTTTCGCCGGCTGGATCCCGCCCGCCCCGCCCCCACTCATGGTACCATGATGGTACCTTTCAAAACAGAGGTAAAGCTCGGCGTCCCAACCCCAACCCGTTTGTGTTGTTGTGGGTCGCAGCTGACAGAAACTGCAGCGCTCCGCGTCGCCCGTAATGTTTTCCCTACACACTCGCGGCCGTTCCCTGAATCAGCATATAGCCATCGGTGGCGTGCCGGGGCCCTAAAATCGTGCCGTGTCAGCCGCGTGAGTGTTTGTCTCTGACGTAACTCACCGCGAGACGCGTGGCGGGAGGTGGGGGAGGCGGGAGGGGGGCTTTACAATAACACCTGCTCGCGGGGCCCGGCGGGCGGGGGCGTGGCCGGCGTGGCGCGGCCCTTGCCTTGCCGCTGCCGCATGCCCCAGCCCAATGCCCTGCGTGCATGGTCCCCGCGGCGTGAATGAGAGCGACCAGCGGGCTGCTCGAACGGGCGAAATCGTCATCAGCAAGTCACAGAGCACGGCACTACTACATACTGCATAAATACCGAGGGCGTTATTGCAGTAAAGCGGACACCGCCCGAGACAAACGAGTGGTTTATGTCTCTAACCCCTTCTTTTTAATGGCTTCCCGACGACGCGAACCCGCCCACCACCTCCCTCTCCTCCCTGGTTCCGCCCCCGCCGCAGCCGCAGCCGGACTTTCGGACTTCGGTTCAATAATCTTTCGGGAGGTCCCTCCCCTCTCGAGCTCGAGTATTTTGGAGACGCGCGGCGCTTTTAATCCCGCGCCCGCAGAAAAGATAGAGATAAGATCAACGAAAAAGAAGCGGAAAAGACGCACTGCAGTGGGAGTGGCGCTCGCTGCGGGGACTCGTAACACTGCCGTGCCGTGCGTCGTGCGCGCCTTCGAGTCCCTCCCTGGCTGGCATGGCGGGCCGAGGCCGTGTCAACCGACTGTCAACCGGCTGTCAACCGGCGGGCGGGCCCGTCAGCTCGGGGACAGGAAGGCGTGGGCCGCGGCGCGGTCGCGGTGCACACTGCACGACGACTATATCGCCAGTCTCAGCAAAAGCAAAAGTTTGCTCAGAGTGCAACTAACTGAAACTAGTGTACTAGTACAACCTCCGCCCATGGCCAATGTCTAGCTCCCCTTCCCCCTCTTCCTCCCTCTCCGTCTCGCCAAGCACTGGTATGATCGCACACGGCACATCCTCTCTCGCTCGCACTCACTTGCGCTGCGCGGGGGCGGCGCCGCGGCGGGCCAAACAAGCCCGAAATGCCCGCCTCCACCTCCGCCTCGGCCTTGGAAAACTGTCTGTCTGGGGCCGAAGAGAAAAACCCCACCCAGCCTCTCTACGATATTATATGGCACTGCGGGCAATTCGTCCAGCGAGCGAGCCCCACAGCGCGAGATACGAAGAAGTGTCATTGGAACAAACGGGCCACTTTGCGACGCCGTGCCACCGGGCAGCGAGATGAGATGGGGCGGCGGGGGCGTAGTCGCTCTTGAACTGGATTGGTTGGTTCAATCGTGATCACCTCCGCGTCCGCTTCCAACAACTCAGGAGGGGTCTTCCTCCTCACTCCACGTCTCTCTAAGTTCGGGCTGTGCCCAACCTGCCACATACCACATGTCACATTTATGTAGTGGGGAAAATGTTATCTACGAGGATACACTTCTGATTTCTCTAGACACATCCATTTACAGTAATCAAAAGGTTAAGCAAACAGCCTTGAGAAAAGTGCCCTATTTTCTCGTAAAGTGAAGTTTATGAACAACCCCATCAAACACAGTCGTTTCTCTTTAGTTTTCTGGAGGGATCCCGAGTGGCAGCAGCAGGAAAGGCCCAGAGTTCAGAGAGGAAGGGAGGGAACCCTCGCGAGGACCCCTGGGACGCACCCGAAAGGTCTCGGTGCGAAAAGAAAGGAAAAGGGCACCTTCGCGGGGCGCGTGCCCACACCAGTCTGGCCGGCCCACCCGGGGCCTCCGACCGGCAACGTGGCGACCAAGGACCTCGATGCATGTGGGCTTCCCGAGTGACTTCCAGGAGACGTACAGCCTCACGAGGCGTTCTGCGAGGGTTTTCCTCGCTGCCTGCGCTTCCTCCTCTCCTCCAGCTCTGCAGAGCCTGCATGTCTCTTTCTCACGCCTCCCGTCCTGCGCCCGCCCATGCGCTGCTGCCCACGCCCTGCGAGCGGCCGGCCGCGTCCGGGGCGCCCAGCCCAAAGAGCTCTTTGGCCCAGCCACCACGAAGCCATCGGCTCCAGCTCGCGTCCTGCCCAGGGGAATGAAAAACGCGAAAGAAATCGACGACGCTATCGCCTTTGCGCACCCACGAGTACCAGAGAGGACGACACGGGTGACGTGCAGCTGGAGAGTTGGGAAGCTTCACACGGCCCTGTGTGCCCCCCCGCCCTCCTGCGGGGGAAAGGAGAGGGGAGGCTTTCGCGGGCCGCGGGGGGCGAGTTTGGACGGGCGACGGGCGGCCGCCGCGGCCGTGGGTGGCGGGAGCTGTCCCGCCGCCAACCTGCTGGAGCGAACACCTCCAGCTGGCCTCCAGCAGTTTCAACGGCCTGGCCTCCAGATTAATCTTTCAAACGATCACAGCAGTAATCGTCACGAGGACTTAAAATAAGAGACCGAGAACAATGCTGCAGGCCGAGTGGAATATTGGCTCCTGCGTTATCACTTGATAAAATGATTCAGAAGTGCGAAAGGGTAGAGACGAAACCATACACGAGCGAAATTTTTGGGTGAAACAGGCAAACCATTGATTATGCCGTAGAGATACTCGCCAACCCACTCACTTACCTCTTGCATCCCGGGCGCACGCACGCGCGTCGCATCCGCCGGCCTCAAGCCTCTCCGATTCCAATTACGCGCCCTTTCGCCGAACGCGGTGCTTTCGGCTCGGCGGGGTTGGCTGCGCCGAGGCTGATGTCACGAAGGCCTCCCATTGGCCGGCCGGTAGCCAATCCGGAGCGCGGTGGTGGGGGCACCGAGCCCATTTGGCCGGGCCGCCCGGCCGCCAGCAACACAGTCACCGGCCAACTCGCCCTCCCGCCTCCGAACCGAGCAGCATAGAAAGTCCGTTACACTACCCGCGGAGCTTCACTTGGTCTCAGGCGAGCGTCGAGCGCGTACCCTCCTTCTCACCCAGCCTTATTTATTTCATATTTATCAACCATGAGGGAGATTGTTCACATTCAGGCTGGTCAGTGCGGCAACCAGATTGGTGCCAAGGTGAGTTCTTTTGCGAGTGTTTAGGGAGTGTGAAAGCAAAGTGTGAAAGCCGCCGCTGCCGGCGCCGCGCCCCGTGCTCCGTCGCCCGGCCCCGCTCCGGCCGGCCTTCCAGCGTCCGCCGAAGCCTCTGGATACCCAATTTGGATTAACGCAGCGACTCCATCTCCTGTGGATTAGTGAAGTGAAGTGCAATTGGACTCGGATTTAGCACATGCTTGTGCTGCAGTGAAGTGCCGTGTGCCGCCCCCGGAGGCGCCTCCGAGGCCGGCCGTCTCGACCCTCCCCTAGTCTTTGTTCGGTGTTTCCGCTCTGCTCAGTCGACAGTGGTTCAAAATTCGCCTGTTTTTCGCGAGTGGCAGTGTGCGTTTGAGTCGCGGGTCCCAGTCCACTCACCGGCTGTTGTGCCCGGGCTCTCCTTTGTCTGGGCTGCATCCGCGGCGTCACTTCAGCCTTCTACAGCCGCGCTGTCGGTTGGATTTATCTGTTGCTCTGGACCGCCCCACCGTTGCCGGGGTTGCGGTCGGCCCTCTCCCCGTAGACACATCTCCGGTGCGATCGCGAGTTTTCGCTGTGATGGCAGATGGCCTTTCGCCAATCGCTAGTTTTTCGGCGCGAAAAATCCCCCCGGCCGGCGTCGGCGGCCGTGTTGACGGTTGGGGGATGGGGGGTTTGGCGGGATTGTCTTCTTCTGGTTGAGTGGCGGGGGGTGGCGGAGCGCGGCGCGCCGAGCCAGCGGGAGGCCAGGCTGGCTGGCCGCCCAACAGTTCGTTGGCTCCGCTCTGCTCGGTGTCCTCCCCCTCCCCGCCCCGCCCCCCGCGCACAGCGGCGTGCAGCGCCGGGCTGCCGGCTGGAGTATAGTGCGCCTGCCTCACCATTACCCCGCCTAGGTAATTGCTAGGGCAGTGCCCCGGGCCGGCCGCGGCGCACGGCGAGGCGGGCTTCTGGAGCCAAGAAGCTCATTTCCTTTAGACCTGTTCTGGGGCCTTTTTCTTGCGTTCGCTCTGCGCTCGCTGGCCAACTGTCACTTCTGTACGTGGCTTGCTCCTCGCTGTCAAGGTCACGGAGCGCTGGCTTACGGTCGGCCCCCGAGGTCCCTGGTCGGGACAGCTGTGCCCGGCCCAGCCCGGCCCCGTGGGCGGCTGACGGCCGGGTCGGGCGGGGCCGCTGCACCTCCGGCACCCACGCGGCACACCTGGGCGTTCGCTGGAGGCGGAGGCGGGGAGTGGGAGGGCGAGTCTCCAGACGAGTTTTCTGCAAGGGCCTCTCTCTATCGCTCGTTGCGCGACAGGACGTGGTTTGGGCGCGGTCCCTGCCGCCTCCTCGTCTTGCTGCAGGGAGGGGGGGGGGGCGGGGGCCCCTTCTGGGAGGGGCATCCTACCCGGCCGCAGCCCTGTTGCCGCATCCTGTACACCATGCGTACTTGTAAAATGTTTCCACGTTTTAATTTTTGGTTTCTTAATTTTTTCAGTTCTGGGAAATCATCTCAGACGAGCACGGCATTGACCCCACTGGTGCCTACCATGGCGACTCCGACCTCCAGCTGGAGCGCATCAATGTCTACTACAACGAGGCATCGGGTAAGGGTAATTGTCGCACTTTTTGTTCATTTAAGCTAACAAAAAGATAACCGCTACTATAAGCTGCCTCTAACTTAAAACTGTTTTTTGGTCTTTTTGGTTTTGGACTAATGGAATAATTCAACTATTGCAATGTTTCTGACATTGTATTCTAGCTTCATTTCTAAAGACCCAAATAACATTTTTTGGCGTGGTTTTGCAGCATTGGTTATTAGCTTAAATGAGCAAAATGCTGCTTGCTTCTTTCCAGCTTTCTAGCAAAGTCACTGGTGTATGGCTTCTGATTATTTTGCTTGTGAAAGGGATACTTTAACTTCTCAAGTTTGATTCTAAATTTTCTATTTAATTGCCATGGTGTAAGGTTCTCTTTCTTCCATTTCCACTGTTAAATACATCTCGTGACATTGCATTGAACTGGAAAGTGAGCCAAGTTTGCGAGGGAAGTGTGCTCTATGCTATTAGTATTGTGTGGATTAATTTGTTGCCCGTGTGTTGGATAGGTGGCAAATATGTGCCCCGTGCCATCCTTGTCGACTTGGAGCCTGGTACCATGGACTCTGTCCGATCTGGTCCCTTCGGTCAAATCTTCAGGCCAGACAACTTTGTCTTCGGACAGAGCGGTGCTGGTAACAACTGGGCCAAGGGTCACTACACAGAAGGTGCTGAGCTGGTCGACTCCGTCCTGGATGTCGTCAGGAAAGAGGCTGAGAGCTGTGACTGCCTTCAGGTAAATATCAGTCATTAATTATTCGACCACAGTTAGAGCGTTAAAAAATTTTCTTTAATTCTTTTCAAACATCCTCTAAATAATTTTGTTTTGTCTTGCAGGGCTTCCAGCTGACCCACTCCCTTGGTGGTGGTACCGGATCCGGTATGGGTACCCTTCTTATTTCCAAGATTCGCGAGGAGTACCCCGACAGGATCATGAACACATACTCCGTCGTCCCCTCACCTAAAGTGTCAGACACCGTCGTCGAGCCCTACAACGCCACCCTCTCCGTTCACCAGCTGGTCGAAAACACCGACGAAACCTACTGCATCGATAACGAGGCCCTCTACGACATCTGCTTCAGGACACTGAAGCTCACCACCCCCACATACGGAGACTTGAACCATCTCGTTTCCCTCACCATGTCCGGTGTCACAACATGCCTTAGGTTCCCCGGTCAGCTTAACGCCGATCTCCGCAAGCTCGCCGTCAACATGGTGCCCTTCCCCCGTCTCCACTTCTTCATGCCCGGTTTCGCACCCCTCACCTCCAGAGGCAGCCAGCAATACCGCGCGCTCACCGTGCCCGAGCTCACCCAGCAGATGTTCGACGCCAAGAACATGATGGCCGCCTGCGATCCCCGACACGGCCGTTACCTCACCGTCGCCGCCGTCTTCCGAGGCCGCATGTCCATGAAGGAGGTCGACGAGCAGATGCTGAACATCCAGAACAAGAACAGCAGCTACTTCGTGGAATGGATCCCGAACAACGTCAAGACCGCCGTGTGCGACATTCCTCCTCGTGGTCTTAAGATGTCCGCCACCTTCATCGGTAACTCCACCGCCATCCAGGAGCTGTTCAAGCGTATCTCCGAGCAGTTCACCGCTATGTTCAGAAGGAAGGCCTTCTTGCATTGGTACACCGGCGAGGGCATGGACGAGATGGAATTCACTGAGGCCGAGTCCAACATGAACGACCTGGTGTCTGAATACCAACAGTACCAGGAGGCGACCGCGGACGAGGACGCGGAATTCGATGAGGAGCAGGAGCAGGAGGTCGATGAGAACTAGGAAGTAGCCTTTCCTGTCATTGTTTTACCTCTCTGTTGACGCTTTCCTCATCCCTCGACTTTCCTTTTCCCTTTTTTTTTACTTTTCTATTTTCTGCACGTGTCATTCTTTTATCGCCTTCTTCTTGATTCTCTATCATTATGTTTTTAATTTCTGCGGCTGAGTCCTGTTAATGTTTTTAATGTATTTTTCAGATGTGTTTTGTACATTTTCTGTATCTGTAAGCTGTCTTTGTAAAGCTTTGTCTATGAATTCCCTACCACATTCCTGGATACTGCTAAAAGCCATGTTCGTGAATTTTTACTGTAATGAAAGACTGAAAAGCTTTGTCCTGGCTTGTTCTCGATTAGAAAAAAATCTGCCTTGTATGACTGCCAAGACATTAAAGTTATGGGCTATTTAATTCAAACTTGTTTTCTCCCATTCATTTCTGCCCATTGATACACATTACGTGCCACACTTCTCTCGTACACCCCTTGAAAATGCTGTACCAAATCTGAAATGCAACGGAGCATTAATTGCATGATAACATCATTGGTTGGAAAGTCGAGAATTCGTGCGCGAATGAAATGAAGTTCAAGTTCACACATCCGCGAACAACGGTGCCTGTGGTTGCGCGCAGCGGCGTGAAAGTTAGGCCTTCGTTCCACACTGTACTTTCATTTCACGGCCAGGCCAACTGAAGGCCGGATTTTCCTGCTGCCTGCGTGCGCGGTCGCCGCCAGTCCGCGGCTTTTAAAGCAGAGAATTATTATGGCGAGCTTTGATGGCTCATACTGAAGCAGCAGCCGAGTTGGGCCGCGCCGGGGGACCGGCGGCCGGCGGCCCCTCCACGGGGCGCGAGCGCGAGCGGGACTTGCTCAGCCCATATGACGGAGACGGGGGCCCCGGGCCGCGGCGGGGCCGACTCAACCAGTTAGCATACTACTATTTTCGGACGGGCGGAGAAAGAGGGAGATGGGTCCTCTTCTCACCGCCGCCACCGCGACCGCGGCGAGGTGCGGTGGAGCCGGTGGAGCACACTCGAACAGAACAAACACGAGGAATGCGCTCACACCGCGGTCGTGTGGTTCACACGGGAGCGCCGGGCGGGCACCGGACCTGGAGGAGTGGAGGGCGCTGGAGGGTAGGCAAACCTCTCCACACTTCGTTGCTAAAAATCGCGATGTGCGCACGGAATCGAAAAGCCGGTTCGGCGGCGGCTGCGCCACCCACCGCGCGACGACGCGAGTTCGTTCCCCTCTCTTTCGCGACATGTTTTTTTTTTTTTCGGGGGTTTTTATTTTCGCCGCCACAAATTAGGGAATTTGACACTAGCTCGACGGAAGGCAGGCAGGCAGGGGGCGTTTGATTGCCTGCCGTGGCTGAGCGGGTATGGGGGAGGGGCCCGACACGGCACGTCGCGGTGGGCGGGGCGGGGCGGGGCGCGAGGCAGACAACCAACAGCCCGACGCTGTGCCGGGTTCTTTCGTTCTTTCGCGTACGACGACGACAACCAGCATCAGCCATCACCACCCGGCAGGCCCCATGTCCCTATGGCTGCTCCTATGGCCTGTGCGGGGCCGGGCGGGGCGGCGGGGCGGGGGCCTCGTGGACGTGAGCGGCAAGCACCACCAACGCTGCTAAGTGGCCGCAAATGAAAGGGGGCCCTTCACCACAGCCAGCGGATATACCAGGCAGGAGGGAAAGGTAAGGAAGGAAAAGGGATTCGTGACGGCAAATGGGGAAATGGTAAAAAATGGATACAAATGGAAACGGGGTGCGCGACGAAAAGGAATAGTAGTGAAGGCTGAGACTCGGAGTGTTGTGCGCGGTGACCGCGCGTAATGACAGAGGAGGCAAGGGAAGTGCGTCAGCGTCAAGCCTGGGCTGTCTCTGTCCAGCGCGGCGGCGGCGCCCGCGACACTCCAGCCTGTGCTCCAGCCTCCCACACCCGCGCGGCGGGGCGGGGCGGGGTAACCAAGGACAGGATAGATCGCTCACCGGAGGCGTCTAATTGCTATACTTTTCGTGCGCGACCACCACATTGTCTCCGCCAGCCTCCACAGCAGCGCCCGGGGGGATGAAGTCCCGTCCCGGCCCGGGCTTAGGCCCACGGAGCTGAATAACCAAATCTTTCTGCGTCCTCCACAGCTCTCCGGCCGAGCGATTCCAGGCCAACAGGACCGGCTTCACATGATGTTGGGCTCTGCTCTACGCGCGTCCGCGGGGCTGAACGGCGAACACGCGTTGGTGCGGCGCGGAGGCGCGGCCCAGCAGGCCCGGCAGCGCCGCCGCCGCGGAGGAGATCGGGGAGATCTCGACCAGATGTGGCGCGCGTAAGTACAGGCTCGAGAGATTGGAGCCGCGAGAAGGAGGTGTATCGAACAGGGGCGCGCGGAAAGCTGCCTTATTGAGTTTCGAACCCGAGGTGGCCGTCGTGCACCGGGCCGATAATCGCGTTGCAGGAGCAAAAGGCGCCTTCGCTTCGCATAATTACCAAAGATCTGCAGTGAAATCGTCCATCCGTGTCAATTATTAGCATATTTCGCAGAGGTAAGTGTTTCGTGGCCGCGGTATGAGGACGCGACGGACACTAACTTCATTATCGGAGGGGCGTATTTGTTGTGGCTGACCGCCCGCTGCCCGGCCAAGTTAGGTTAGCGCCTTAATTTCAAGCGTTCGACAC